TGGGATATTATGAGTCACAGAAAAATATCCAAATGTATTTCTAGTGTTCTTGTTGGAGGAATGAGAACATGCTGGGAACTGGGCAAGGGCCATGAGGAACAGCCAGTTTGAGCTGCTACCTGAGAAAGAAGGTGTCAGGCTTTGTTTAATACCTCTGTGATCATATTGTTAAATTCTTACAGTGACATCTGATAAAAAGAGCACAATCTAATGAGGGAAGCTTGACAGTGAATTCCTTAAAGACTAAAGGTAAATGCTACTATAACAATGAGACAAATGAAATTCTAGTGAAAAAGCTTTATTGAATAAAAAAAAAATACCCATGGTGAAAGTAGGACCAGTACCATAGGGGCTTTCTCCTGCTATGTAAAAAGGAATCTTTTGTGGTGAAGTGTCATTACTGTCTGATAGTGCTAAAGAAAAGTAAAGCAGGTCAGCAGAAATGTAGAAGATAATAGAGAAAAGAAGCAGACAAAGTTTTCTTAAAATCAAACAGCTCCAGAAGAAAAATTAAAATCTGATTTTTTTTCTTAAATTACTGGATGACACAAATGCCGTGAATGTAGCAAATTTTATTCTAATGCATCATTTGATAAATACATGAGGCCTTCTTGAAATCTTGCAAACTGTATATTCTTCTGGATACAAACACTGGAAATAATGGAAGAATTATGAAACACTTTAACTGCATTTTGTCTTTAGTAAAGAGAAGGATTGCTGATTTGAAAGTGTTATGATAGGTTTTTTCTCTTTTATCCAGACAAATTCTTAATACACACAGCTGTGATTATGTACTAACAAATAGTGGTCTCTTTGAGCATATTTGCAAATTCAGTCACACATCATTTTCTCTCTCCATATAATTCCTCCTACAGTCAATCAGTCTTGAAGGATGAAGACCTGAGAGGTAAAGTTGAGAACGCTTAGAAACAATGACCCTACATATAAAAATGCTAGAGAATAATGGCAGTGATCAGAGGGAGGTTTGAATATGAACTCTTTGGGCAGTGTTTACTTGCCTAGATATTTGACTAGAGCCACATAAGACAGTCTTGGCTTCAGCAGGGTGCTCCAGAAGGTTGTAGGTTTCCCACGGTGCTGTGCCATATTTTCTGGCACTATGTGAATGTCTCAGATGCCATAAATCATTGAAGTATTGCTAGACGTGAATGTTTAGGCAGTGGAATTGAGCCCTTTAATCTACAGCTAACCTATTAATAAACCTTTTCCTTCTTTGGTACTGTCAACGGTCTTTATTTCTGATATGTTTCAGGAATGCTAGACAGCTTTGTTGTGTCCTGTAAACATTTTTGTAACTCCTTGATTTTAACTTACAGTTGTAGGCATGTACAAATTTTACTCTTTCTCATCCAACCTTCCACTGTTTCTGCAGTATTTTACCAGTGTTAGGCAGGTTTGGTTTGGCCAATATTTTAAGTTCTGTCCTCATTACATCATAAAAAGATATCTTATAAATCTGCCTTATTAGCTAAGTAACATTTCTTGCTAAAGTGAATTTTATTTTATCTAATATTATAACATGCTATAAAGCAATCTTGTCAGATGTCTGTATAAATATTTATCAGTAAAAGGTGCCCATACATGATTTTAATACATCAATAACTTTATCAAGGAGGAGTTATTACTTGGAGGAGGTTAAACACTAATGCTTACACATATCCTCCATTCAAAGAAAAAAGTAATTCGTATTCATATATGTAATATTTTCTTAGATGATATCATAAAAAGAACTGTACTGGAAGCTATAAAGGATTATTATCTGAGAATACTCTTTGAGTGCACTAAATTAGACAATGAAAGAGAGAACAGACTTTAAGCTTCCCCCACCTTCTTTTTCTGCCTAAGATCTGTTGAGTAAAAGGTAAAATTGAGCATAACACCCAGGCAAAGCGTTTATTGATGAATAATATGTGAAATTCATGTCAGCAGTTATATTTTTAAAATATCTGCATTTTGTTTCTTTCTTCTTCTTAAAAAAAAGAGAGTTTGAGAAATTTATTGCAGTATTCAAAGAAAATATTGTGATCTTACTATTGGGACCTATAGGGTGTGGAAGAGAGAAAGGCAAGAGGTGTTATGGAATGTGCAGATGTGGACATTATCAATTATTTTACCAACCACAACAATGATAAAATTCATTGCAATGTACTGTTTAAATAACATTTTAAACTGTTTCCATCATGTGAGATGCATCTTTGTAGAAAATCAGTAAGTTTAATGTGACCAGGTGATTTTTTATTGCTCGTATGTTCCCTTCATTTCTTCTCACCTCACTAAGCTGGTTACATTTAATCAGCCATATGCAAGATTCTGACTTTTTTCAAGGTGTAACACTGTGAAAGTGAATTTTAAACTCTCCTAACAGAAAACAGTAATACAGAAAACTAGGAGGATGCTGTGCCCACTCAAAGCTAACCAGCACATTCAAGATGTGGGGTTTCTTGCAATATTTTCTCATGAAGAGACCTATAATGATTTGCCAGACAGATTATGTTTATGTTATTTTTAGCAAATGCCTTTCACTGCACTGAAGAATCAGAGTTCCAATTAACACAAAGAAAAACCAATAAAGGCTGTGCTCTCAGGGTTCATTGATTTAAAATAAATTAATCCCTATCCCATGAAATTTCCATTTAGTTTAATTTTTTATATTATACCATTGCCAAAATATTTCCATATAAATACATGTTGTAATAGAATAATGCATGAAAGACCAGTGGAAAAAATATATGCATGTTGTTATAGGTGCTGTACATAATAGATCATTGAGAGTTAGTAATATATGGCTAGGTTAAACACAGGATAAAAATTGGGGGGGAAATAGACATTAATGACAAGGAAAGAATTGGGTTTTTTAATTACAATCTAATGTGGGCTGAGGAAAAAAAATTGAAGACATCTTGCCAAATCAATGAAACAAGGAAAATTTGAACTGAATAATATGTTTGGGAGCCTTCAGGTAGAAAAAGGAAGAGAGCAGGAAAAGGAAAGATTGTTACATGAAGAAGTAAATTTAAAGGGAGACCACAGATCTCTGTAGTCTAAGTCAGATCACATATCTGATTCAGCTGCAAATTTACTCAGAGGGAAAATTGAGCAGGGCAACTGTGGAATTATCCTCAGTTCATATAAAGTAGTGCAAAAACATTGACTCCAATGGATATTAACTACACAATGCTATTTGAATATAAGGCCTCCTAGGCCATTCTATGTCGTACAGATATTTGTCTGCTGCTATGCTTAGCAATTATCCTAATTTTTTTCTTCCTGTCACTTTTGATTTGTTTTGCAATCTCCCACTTTTCTGCTGACCTCAACAATAGATATGGTGTAATCTCAAGTGTGGTGTTTTGAGACAATTGTAGATGAAATACTAAACAAATATAAAAATATTATCCATTGCTTTTACTTTCTTCAGGCTACACTTTATCCACAGCTTTGCTGATACAAATCCAAAACAAATGAAGAGGTCAGATTATGACAGAAGGAAGAAATTAGATTAATAGAGCACTATAAAGATTTCACTTCAGTAACTAGAGGTGTGTCAGTATGAGGATTTGTGACTACTGAACAACTGAAAGGAGAATTAAATGGTGCACAAAGATAAACATGGTTATAATGGAGATATAAAAATATATCTGATATATCTGAGAGGTGAAAAAATTATGAAAAATTTAAATTTAGGGCAGGCAGATTGAGAGAGACATTCCTCTTATTTCTTCTAATTGTTTTGCATTAGGAAAGTAACTGTAGGTCAGTGTTTTAGATGAATGCTACCAAATTGTTCCTCTTTGAAACATGAATGATCTATGAACACCAGATGTTATTGTTTTTTATGTAAGCCAAAGATATTATTTTTTTATTTCTTTGAGTACTTTAGAGAGCTGCTGTCTAAATATGTATTTTAAGCAGGAGAAAGAGTGCTATTATCAGTTTTCAAGACATTTCAGTCATTCTACTTTTTTTTTTCCATAGATGCTTCTGTTTGTGGTATCTGGGTTTAAGATGGCAGGCAGCTCAAAATACAAATTTCTTAAAACTTTAAAAAATATTTTCACACAATTTTATTAAAGGCAGACTTATTGCTGAATGACCTGGAATTTCTACTTCTTTTCACTTCCATTATCGCCACTTCTTGACTGTCATCTACCCAGCATGGCAAATACCAAGTCCCATTTCCTCAACATGGCAAAAATCTCCTCCCCCTTCCCCTGTTCTCTTTAGAAAGATATTTGGATTCTTTGAAATGGTGATATATGTATATGTGGATGATCATAAAATGCTGTCACTTTATCTTCATGACCTTGTGATTCAAAAGACTAGAGAGCAGTGAAGTAGATATAAAAACGAGCCGTCAGCAAAATGTTATTTAAATAGCTTTCCCTAAATTAAATCATTGAAAGGTGATGCAGAAGTAAGCATAGGCATGAAAAAATTAATTTCATTTTATATATTAATAATATATAAATTATATATTTATAGAATAATCTATTCATGAGCTCAAACATCTAGTCAGGATTTAATTGATCAACATGTGTTGATTTTGTTTTAATAGTAATTTGGAAATGTAATTGAAATTAAAATGTAACCCAAAATATTTTAACATACTGATATGCCTAATTCTAAGACCTCTCAATGGAAAGTTAGTTTTTGTTAGTTTATGAGGTCATTTATACAATTTTGGTTATGTCAGGGCTTTTTCAAGGAATCTTGATTTCAGACCATTGCATAGCATATTACCCCACTTTGTCTGATTACATGATTCTCTCTGTGTTCTGGATTTTTGTTAGCTGGTATCAAACACATTTGAAAAAAACTATGAAAACAAATATGTTTTGTCTCTGAGCCTTGTAATAGAGAAAATAGCTAGAGCCAGTTGCAGCTCCCCTGGATTTTAGGAGAATGGTATTACCCTGCCTTTCTGCGAGAGATTGCTGGTTACCTTCTGTCAGTGAGCAACTGTCTCACTGCAAAGCAGGAGCACGATCTCTTTTGTCTGTGGTCAAGGCAATTATTTCTTAGAAAGTGGAATATCTTCAAAATGACTATGTACAAGAGCAAACGCAGAAACCAAAGATGTAAGTAAATTATAGTTTTTTTAATATTCTTACAGAGGAGGGAAAATAAATCTCCTGTTTCATAGAAAACCATGTTTTACTTTACCCTGCTTTGCTTGAATTATACCAGGAAAACAGGAACAGTATTCCATGCCAATTATCCCACTGTTTCCTCGTATTAGGTGCATGAAAGAGCTTTAAAATGAAGGGGGGGGTGGGGGGGGGGAAGCTCACTTGTTACTATGGAAACCCTCAGAAAGTGATTGCTTGATGGCATCAACAAAGAAACAAAGATTAAATATAAGTTTAATTCAGAAGAGCATCCTTTATTCAGGGCTTAATGAGTGGCTAGCTGCGACCTTTGATTTGATGAAGCTGACATACTTTCCCCTGGTGGACTTTTTTGTGTGGTTTGCATTAAGAAGCCAATGGTAGCAGAACTTTAAGGGCAGTTATTTTATTTTCCTATATCACAACTTTCAGAATTAACTAGTTTGCTAGCGGGGGGTGGGGGGAAGAGAAGCTTGCGTGTGTCTCTGCTGTCCATTTAGAACACTCCAGCCTTGAAAATTCACTGGCTTCTAAATGCATGACTTTCAAATCAAGCACCTCTTTGACTTTTTAAATTGCTACGGCGTCAGATGGGGGAATTTCAGTATCAATATTGCCTCCTCTGGAAGCTTATGGAACAGGTGACTGAGGCAAATGAAAATGTGCCGTGGGTCAGGTCATGAAGTATTTGCTGCTCTAAGAAAATCTAGTAAAAGGCTGAGTTATGAATAGAGAGCATGTCAGAAGCTGTGAAAGTAAGACATTCCTCTAAGAAAAATGTCATATACACACTGTGTTTTCAGGGAGAGGACAGGAGGGGAGGAATATCTAATTCAAAACCAGATATGTTTGGACTTCATTTGGACAGAAGCATTGTTAGGGTTCAGAGGAATATATACAGCTATATCACTGACCTCAGTTTCTGGTCCTTGTAGATTAACCAGTGTAGCTGTCCTTCGGTTTGTCTTGCTCAAAAGAAATGGATGGCTAGAAAGTTTAGCAGGACAGATCTCTGCTAAAATCTCTGCAACAGGAATCAATCATCTGCATCGCATTCAAAAAAATAAATTATCATACATTTTGTTCCCATAGCAGCAATAGAAGAAAATTATTTATATACAGGCAAATTATTATTAATCTAGCTCTTTTACATGTATTAATTACTGTCACCATTATTATGTAAACCAGGAGCTCTTTCTATAACCAGCTGCATTATTGCAATCTCTCCTGTCCAAGACTGGTTATAGTGTATAATAAAAAAATTTGTGCTGGAGTAGATGAGTTTCAAGGGTTTTTTTTTTTTTGGTTACAAGGATACAGTAGTTCATTAAAAGGGCACAGGATGCTTCTACTAATGCTTTTTTGAAGAGAACCTTGCATTCACCCTTGCTGACCCCAAGGAAAATCTGTGATTTGTCCAGAGGCAAAAAAACCCCCAATGAAACATGATCAGAATTCATACTGTAATTATGAGGGTGGATGTTGCAATGTTTTCTGTTTTAAAGCTGTCTTCAATTTTAAGATCCAAGTCTATAAAATATCTCAATACTACATACATATAATATAAATTACATATATAGGCATATATATTATACATATATAAGTACCAGTGCTGTATACATGGATGCTTCATTAATACTTTAGCTAATTAGTAACAGAAATAACTTTAACAAACAAAAAAAATTTACTAATTTTGGTAATGCTCCTGTTTATACCATTCAAAGGTTTTTTGAAGGATAGATTTCATCTAAGCAATTTATATTCTGAAGTGTGAGGGATTATGGTAGCAGCTGTGTTAAACAGTAGGCAGGTTTTATATTTTCTGTGCATTTCTGGTGCCCCTTAATACAACATAAGAAAAGATGTTGAGTATATAATTTCCAATATTTGTGGGATAAACCTATACCTCCTGACTACCTCTCACTACCTCTCACTACCATACTTGAACTTGTGGCATAAAATGAAAGTGAACTTTTTGGCTTTTTCCTATTCACTGAAATTCTGCTTCTGGATTCCATACACTCCTCTGAGCACTATAATCATTGCTTTCCAACTCCCTTTTTTAAAATGTTTTAAAAAATGTATAAATGCATTCTCTACTTAGTTCAAAAGCACATCAGATTATAGAGGAGGATAGAAAATGTAGAGACATGATGGCATTTTTTTAATGCAAAATAAAAGTAATCTCCATATCCAATTTCTGTCTCAGGTACAAAACTGTTGCTAGAAGAATACATGCAAAAAAAAGTGTTTACCTACCTGTCTGTAAGAATGGGATGAAGGTTTCCTGTGCATATTTTCAGCTATAACATAATACATAAATCTTCCAAAGTTTAAGTTAATGGTTTTCTTTCCTTGTAACTTTGAGTTAGATTGTAGAAAAGTGGCCCTTATATTAAATAATTAGCATATTTTATTTATTCCATAAACATTGTAACTTATGAGGATTCAAATTAACTATCACAACTAATTGTAAAACTTGTTTCACTAAATAAACAAAATTCAGATTAAGGTTATTTCTGTATGATTGTGTGTATCTACCTACAGACAAATACACAGTCCCCAGGCATACATTTCTCTGCACAAGCAGATGATAGGATGCTTGATCCTTCAGGGTGCTTGATTCAGGATGTTATCTAGGTGAGAGGTTGGCTTCTCATTTCATTGCACCGGCACAATGGCTGAGTGAGGGGAAACCATCATAGCCAACACAGTCTTGTTACTAAGCACTGGAAAATGTGTGGTGGTAGAGCTTTTCTGAAATAAAATTTTGGAACTTTCAACTGTCCTACTTTGGGGCTGCTGGGAAGGATGGTCAGGAAAAGTATTGCAGTGGGCTGCAGGGCAGGTGTGGGTTTTCTGCATGGAGAGGCAGCCATCCACAGTCACACCTTCTGGAGATGCCATGCCTCCAGGCTTCCTCTCAAAGTGAGCAGCAGACATTCCATTTTTCATTACAATCTTTCTTGTAGCCTTCACGGGAAGGCTATTACAGGAATCAAGGAAGGCTACTATCCCTGAAGAAAATAATATTGGAAAAAACTTACTTACCTATAAAGCAACTTTAAGAAATTCTCATTATTCTTATTTATTGGTGGTTTGTGTAGCTTGACAAGATAAATCACCACAACCTTGTAAAGGGCTCTGCATGAAAAGATGATCCCTAATAGTTTTTGGTCTAACACCGTAAATTTGACTCAGAAGAAATGTAAGTGGAGAAAAAGAGAGTATTGGCTAGTGTGGCAGGCAGATGTGTTTTGGGGAAGGTGTGCACCACAGGAGCAGCACCTAGGAGGAAATGCAGAGTGCTGCCAGAGAGATGCCAGTGCTGCCAGAGTGCTGAACTGGGGACTGGAAAGGTAAAGCAAGGATGGAGAAATTAAGGGGAAAAAATAGAACTTATCTCTTGCTTTCTTCATCTTCTTGTTTTCAGTGTATCATGGGACCTCCCAGACATGTCAGTAATAACAGTCAGAGCACAATGGCAGCTGAGGCGAAGATCAGTTATTTTTAACTATTGGGAAACCATAATAAAGTCAACAGCTACCATAAATGCAGCCACAGATACTGTCCCTTTCCAGAGTGCTGGAAATTGAACTCACAAATTTGTCCATTCCAATATGAAGAATCCTGTCAACATCAAATGTCCCTGAAATTGTGCTCCAAATGAATTAATGACTTTTGCCATGGCTTGATGACCATGTAATGTCCACAGGTGTCCACTGATAAAGATGAGAAATTCTGTGAAATTCCAGTTTGAAGGAGTATTTGTTCCATCTGAATTCTTTGGTCTATTTTTGCATTGTCCGATATATTTTCTTTCATTGAGAAGGTCCCACTTGCAAAACTTTTTATCATGGATTTACTGTTCTTACATTCTTTGTTGCCCCTTACAGATAGAATAACCACTTTCAGGCTTAAAGAACTGAGTTGACATTTGTTGAGTCATGTATTATTATAGTTTGATCAGCCCACGATTGCTTCCATCTTCTTTTTGCCTCTCAGGGCAGTAAAGTGGCCCCAGTACTGAGGCTGTTGCTGCCCAAAGAAAAGAGCAACCTTTTAATACAGTGTGTGCTGGGAGGTAAAGTGACTGGAAAACCAAATCTCATTGGGGAAAACAAGTGTAGTTACTGACCCAGATACATATAAGAAAACTCTGCCTCTTTCCTTAAAACATCAGAGACCTAGACAACAAGGGAATATCTCTTCAGCATGGTACTGAGATGCCTTTCTTCATGTAAAGCTATCCTGGAATAGCCCCAGGATATTTCTGCTGCTGCATACCTTTTGAGGAAGTAGAGTTCAACACAATTAAGTGTACTAGCAATAAGGTTGAGCAATACAAAACACATGATCTGCAGGAATACAAATATCTTTGCATATTCACATCACATGGATAAACTCTTTATACAAATAAAAAATACAATTGCTAGTCAATAAGTCAGGGACTTCAGGGTTAGAAAATTTCTTCTTGTAGCTTTGAAGGGAGCTCCTGGTGAGCTGAGAGGGCTGGCTTATTTGAAATTATTCATGCTCATTATTCCCATGTTACTAAGCAGTAAAACTGAAGACATATGTCCCTGACTGAAGCATGTTGTCTAAATGAGCTACAATTTTTTCTTTGACACTTTTTCAAGTATCTGTGTAGACTTCTAAAGCAGACATGTTTTTTTCTGCTTCGAGACAGTACAAATAAATCAAAAATATTGAAAGAGAACTGTTTCATAATGCATCTTTTGGGACATTAGTAGTCTGACCGAAATCAACATGCACAATTTACATTATGCTTCCAACTGCTTGGTGGGAGTCTGCCTCAGGAAGAAGAGTAGAATTTTTGTCCCTGTAGAGGAAATGTTGAAAGTGTGGAGAAAACCTTTACAAATCATAAGCTGACAATCTGTCCTGAAAAGGGGAGAGAAAGGGATAAACAGTATAGGTATAAATTCAGAATTGACTTTAAAAGAATT